CGCTTGGACGATGAGAGGGACAGGGATGGTCGGGTTCTTCAAGAAGTTGAGTGAGGGTGATTCAGTGATATCGGGGAAGATGTGCGAGAGCTGGGGAGTGGCTGCGTGAAGATCACTCGGCTCCTCATGCCTATTTTCCAGAAGGGTAGAGGGCACATCCCCCTCGGCAGAAAGAGTCGGAGTGGTCACTGAGCATCGAATAGCAAGTGCCAGTGGAGGAGCAGGCCCATGCAATCAAGTGACATGAGCCACCGGGGAAGAGGGAGGAGCAGGTGGTGCTGGAGGTGTTGGTTTAGGAGGCTTGGGCGAAGGGATTGGCCGTCGCTGGTACGTGATCGGGTCGCTTGGCTGTGGAGGGGCGGGTTCCTGAGTGGAAGAGGGAACGGGGGGAAGAGGTGGGGCTAGAAGGTTCGACCGCCGATGGTATGTGATTGGTGTGCTTAGCGGTGGGAGCGCAGTTGGCAGAGTGGGATTAGGGGGAGATGGAGGAGCAGCTGCCGAGGACACCGGTGAGGTCCGGTTAGAGACCTTAGATGGGGATGGTGCGATGGCAGGAGAGGTTGGAGGAGAGGGAGCTGGTGCGGGCGGAAGTTCAGGAGGAGCATCAAAGTCAGCCCACACGAGTGAGGGTGGTCCGGAGGGAGGATCCCCCCCTGAGGTGGAGTAGAATGGGCGGGTCTCATCAAAGACAACGTCGCGGCTCCGGACTAGCTGTTGAGTGGAGGGGTTGAGGAAGAGGTAGTCAAGGGAGACGCCATTGTGCCCAAGGTAGATGCATGTTTGAGTCTTGGGGCTGAGTTTGCCGCCTTGCTGCGCCGAGCCTGAGGGTTGAGGAGGACATAGGTGGTGCACCCCCAAACGCGAAGGGGGCGAGCAGTGGGTGTTTTCCCAAGCCAGAGTGTGGTGGGAGTGGTGTCGGGAAGAAGCGGGAGGGGGTAGAGGTTGTAGAGGAGGGCGACATGGTAGAGGGCGTACCCCCAGAGTGAGAGTGGTGCATTGGAGTGGCTAAGGAGGCAGCGAGCGATCTGCACCAATGCGTGATTGCGGCCCTCTGATATGCCGTTCTGCTGCGGGCTGTCAAGAAGAGTGAAGTTTTGCAGGATGCTTTCTGAGGAGCAGAAGGCTTTGAGCTTGTCGTTGCAAAATTCACCACCACCATCCGAATGTAGACATGATCACGAGTCGAGTCGAGTCGAGTCACCTCGAATCGCGGTCGAGTTGGGAGTTGCGTCGAGTCGAGTCGAGTCGAGCCATAGTCGAGTCAGTTTCCCGGAACTGCCGACTCGTGCTCGACTTCTGAAATCGAGTCATACCTTGACTCGAGCACGAGTCAACAACTCGCGAGTCAGTCTTGACTCGACTTAACCGTAAGGAATTTTCAAGGGCCCCAAAAGTCGTGTCCTGATTCGTTGCTGGCATGCAAGGTAGGAATGACAAAATCCCGTCCATTCCCCTTTCCGCACAGGTACATTGATGCGCACCCAAAATTGCGTGAAAGGCGGAAATTGGGTGTCGGCGGAATTTGTGTGACAGGCGGAAATTGGGTGTCGGGGGAATTTGTGTGACAGGCGGAAATTGGGTGTCGGGGGAATTTGTGTGACAGGCGGAAATTGAGTGTCGGGGGGGGATTTGCATGTCGAGCGGAAATTGAGTGTCGGGGAAGATTTGCTTGTCAAGCGGAAATTGAGTGATGGTCGGAAATTCGGTGACGGGAGAAATTGCATGAGGAAAGGAGGGGGAATTGACAACGGGAATCCACGTGTATAAAATTGGTGGCCATCGAGTCAGTCCAGCTCGAATCGAGTCAGCTGACTCGCTGACTCGTGGCCCACCAGACTGTCCAAAGTCGAGTCGGGCGATGCATCGAGATCTCTCCTCAATTTGACTCGACTTGACTCTACTCGAGTCAGGGAAATAAAATAACTGACTCGACTCGACCTAAAGTCGAGTCGAGCCAGCGAGTCGAGCTAAAACTCGCCTCGATTGATCATGTCTATCCGAATGGAGGCGCTTGATCTTACGGCCGAAGCTGGTCTGTGCTTGATTAACCCACGCCATGATGGCCTCTGGAGCCTCAGTTTAGTGTGGAGGAGGTGCACATAGACGTAGCGGGAGTGGTCATCAACTATTGCAAGGAAAACGATGGCCGCCTCGTGTGGGAACAGGGGCAGGGCCCCAGACGTCCATGTGCACTAGGTCCAATGGGGATGCTGCGACTGAGGGTGAGGCAGGGTGGGGCTGTTGGCGCGGTTTTCTCTTGGTGCAGTCAAGGCATGTGGGAGCGAGGGAGTCGGGTGGTGGAGGAAGTGAGGCAGGTAGGCCGAGAAGAAGCTTATTAGAGGCCATGTCAGCAAGCGTGCGGAAGTTTGGGTGCCCGAGCCGATTGTGGTAGAGGATGGTCGGATTGGCGAAAGTGCGGCATCAGCATGGTGTAATAGTAGCCTGTGCTTGGGTGGTTGACACCTGTGGGATGGGTACACGCAACGTGTAGAGGCCGCTACTGTTGAGCGTGAAGCGAGCTAAGACCTTAATGGTGAGTGGGTCGATGATGTAGTCCTTGTATTCTGAAATTATGGAGTGGACCCCTGCCTCCTGAAGTTTTTTTTAGCCGATAAATTGTGGCGTAGTGAAGGCACGCACATGCCAGTGACAGTGCCGGGTGGGAAGGGGGGGCATGGGAGAGTGGACAAGCCCTTTGCAAAAGTGGTGAAGCTTGAAACAGCAAAGATATGTGTAGAGTACGGTTTGAAGGAGAGTGTCTCCTTGAGCACAGTGTGAGTGGCCCCGCTGTCGAGTGTGAATTCTTTGTATTGTGGTGCTTGTGATGAGCCGATGCATTGGGAGGTTGCTTCATTAATCATGGCAGTGCCAGGGAACAGCAAATTGATACGCACATCAGCGATAGCACTATCACTAGCACTAGCCGAAGCGGGGTCCTGGACCTCAACTAGGTTGGCCTCACGAAGACGCATCCAGTTCGACGGCTTCTTGTTGACTCCGTGGATGGCATACCATTCGTCGACTTCTTCTTGAAGCATGTAGCGAGGGGGTGGTTAGTGCCACCACACACTTGTCCCTTGCGGTTGCCATACTTGACGACGTAGGTGCACGGAGGGAAGCGGTTGCTTGAGGCACGGGAGCACGGATGGCGTAGGCCTTGGCTTGAGCCGTGGAGACTTTTTCGGCAAAGAGGAGAGCGGAGAAGACCTTAGCAAAAGTGAGGTCTTCCGTCGTCGAGAGTGTGAGGAGCATCTTCCTCGTGACTTTGTATGCCGAGGTGAGGCCAACAAGAAAGGCGGCTACAGAAGCTTGTTCGGGGGAGACTATACCCAACTCCTTGAATTCGCCATGAATGGTCTGATCCTTGGCAATGTAGTCAACCATTCCCGAGCAGTCCTTGAGGCGGACCTGGAACATGCTGGAGATGGCAACTCCGACTACCGTCTTGTTCATGAGCCGATCCTGGAGATACTTCCAAATGGCGTTCGAGGTGGGATAGTTATGGAAAGTATTGACAAGTTCGGGAGGGGTGGAGCCGATGAAGACGCTGATGATAGCCGCATCGGCCTTCTCCCATTTACGGTATTTGTCAACAGCATCCTCGTACGCCCTCGTGTCAGCATCACTTGCTGGATCAGTCGGCTCACTGGGGAGAAGGGGTTGTTTTCCCCTGCCACGGTTGAGAAGGACGTCCTTGGGGTCCAATCCCTGCACGTCACAGCTCAGGATGTGTTCGTCAACTCCATAGTTCTATGCCTCGAAGTTGGAGCTAGTGCCGTCGGCTTCAAGGCGGAGTGGGGTGATGGGTTTGGCGATGGTGGACGAGGTGAACATCATGATGAAGAACCCCTTTGTGTCTCGCGCGAAGCGCCGCTCTGATAGGAACTTGAGGTTTAGGGTTTTCGAAGGAGAATTTGAAGAACTTCAGATTTAGGGTTTACGAAACAGAATTTAGAGATTTAGGGTTTCCGAAGGTGAATTTGAAGGAAACGCCGAAATCGAAATCCAAAGAACGCGAAGAGCGAGAATCGTCAATGTCGGCCGCTTCGAGATATTCTGTCGAATGGTTTTTATGGTCGCCAAAATTAGGTTAAATCGGCCGATTTTCGTACTGCTAACCCTAATCCCACACACCCCCCCACACACCACCCTCAGCTTTGCGACTACAGTGCTGCTCGGCTTCGCTGCTACACGGCTGCTCAGCTATGCGGCTGCACCTGTTCAGCTGCGGAAAGGGGGGATGGGGGTAGAAGTGCTGTTGCGGGGCGACGGGCGGCAGCCCGAAGGTGACGCTGCAGGGCGACGGGCGGCGGCCCGACGAGAAGCTGCAGGGCGACGGGCGGCGGCCCGACGAGAAGCTGCGGGGCGACGGGCGGCGACCCGACGAGGAGGAGAAATGAAGCGAAGATATTTGACGAAAAGTGCGATTGGTTAAGGCACTGACCATGCGCTTACCAAAAAAGTTGTAGAAGTCGTCGAAAGTGAAGGGAAAGTGGCGCGGGAGAATTTCCGACCACGGATGTCGCGAATCACCGGTGACGGGATTGAAGGCGGCTACGCCGAGGTTTGAGGGATGAAGATCCGCAGAGATAAGAGGATCACGATCCACGTGTGCGGTTGAATGGCTCTGATACCATGTCACAACTTAGGCTTAGAAGCGATGCATTAGTAATGAGCTTGAAGTTCTTTAACTACATTCAAGATGGGCAAGCCATGGATGGGGAGTTGAATCGGGGGCAATCTCTAGGGATTGGGGGTAATCCCAAGACAATCTCCAATTGGTGGGTTGGAGATTGCTTGGAGATTACATTTGGGTTTGGTTGGGATGTAGGTGTACACCCAACCAAACACAAAGTGCAAACTACACTACACTACGATATAGAAAGTGCAAAATACAAAGTGTGAGATTGAGGGCTAACACTAACAACATGTAGGTGACACGAGGTGTGTAGGTGGTACCTGCACGAGGCACTACCTCCACTACCTGCACGAGGCACTACCTGCACGAGGCATGCTGACAGCTCCCGCTTGGCGGTGAAGTAGGAGAGCAGCAGCATGTTGCCTAGGAAGCCCGTGGCGAAGCCCAGCCACGAGAGGATGCCTAGTGCTGCGCCCTGGTTGGCGCGCAACAGAGTGGCGTTCTTTAGGATCTGAAAAAGGGGGAGGGGCAAGGCCAGGGGGGTTTGGGGGAAGAGGAGCATGAGGAGTCAGGCGAAGGATGCCCAATGCTGTCCCATGGTTGGCGCGCAGCAGAGAGGCGTTCTTGAGTGTCTGCAAAAGGGGGAGGGGCGGGGAGAGCGGGGAGGGGGTTGAGAGGGGAGAGTGGCGGAATGCAGAGCTGAGAGGAGAGAAGGGATGTCCAGCACTGTCCCCAGGCATACACGTGAGAGGCGAGAGGCGAGAGGCGAGAGGCTAGACGGGAGAGGCGAGAGGCTAGACAGGAGAGGCGAGAGGCTAGACGGGAGAGGCAAGGAGCGAGATGCGTGAGGGAGAAGGACGGAGAGGCCGAATGGGGGAAAGGGAGGATGAGGGGAATGAGGGAGGTACTGAAGAGGCAGAGGCGGAGGGATGGGGGAAAGAGGCTTGCGGGATTGGGATGGGAAGGAGTTGGGGAACACAAGAAGCACGGAGCAGGGCTGCCTACTGCACGGAGCAGGGCTGCCTACTGCACACACCAAATCCCGCATTCCCCCTTCTCCTCCACCCCCGGTCCTCCTGTCACTCCCCAACCATTCCCCCTCCCTTGCCCCATTCCCTGGACGCACCTACTCTTACATTTTCCTTCCCCCTTCCCTTCACACTCTTGCACTACCCTTCCTCCCTCTCATATCCATTTCCCCCCGTCTCATTCATCATGATCATCCCCGCCACAGTCGACAGCGCCGTCAGCCGCTCCTCCCTCCCCCATCTCATATCGCTTTCAACCCTCCCACTCCCCTTTCCCCGTCATTGCCCTTCTCATATAATTCCCGTCCTCCCCTCCCTCCCCCCACTTCCCTTTCCCGCAACCACGAGTCACCTGCGGCACCATCATAAACAGCCCCGCTACAGTCGATAGCGCCGTCAGCCGCTCCGTCGTCGCGTTCCAAGCCTCGTACTTGCTGGACCTGACAGGCTCGTCTGGCACTGCCTCGGCAACTTCCGAGCCTCCCGCTCCGGCTTGGCAACGCAGGTCTGGACGGCTCGAACTCTCGTGTTTTATTAGGAAGCAGCAGGCGCTGCTAATGCGAGAGTCTAAAGCGCGTATGTCCTTATTACCGTTAAATGTGCTGTGAGCAGCACGGGGGGGCGTTCCCTGACCTATCCAACTCTGGCCACAATCGAAAGACCGCAACTTCCGGGAGCGCGACTGCAAGGCTCCGCAGAAGCAGGAAAGGCTGACGTGGGCGCGTGCGACGGGCCGACTGCAAATGCCGCGTTTGCAGCCAATTGCGGCAGGGCTCGTTGCAGCACCATGGCTGTGTAACTCTAGCATTTTGACTAAACCGCGACATGTGTCACTGCGCCCGCCGCATGGTGCGCTGTATATCCTAAGGGCGGGTGCTGACGCCATTGGGTAGAAACTGCGGGAGCATCAGTTGATAGTATCGCCGTACATAAACCGCGGTCAAGTTGCAACGCCCTTCAAATTTTGTAATTTGAAATGGGAATGTTGTACACCTGATGCTCGTTTGAGCCCCCACTGTTGCCTTGTGAAGAGGGCGCTTTAGTTATTCTTGCATTTCGCCTAGGTTTCTTCAATTCGCAGCTAGCAAAAAAGGGCCTATAAATGAAAGTTGTAACTCACCGTTCACATTTTGACTTCGGTCTCTTCAGTTTGACTTCGATCTCTTCGTTACTATTGGTTCATAACCGCTGCAACTTGCTCAAGGGGCTTGTAATGTGGGTGCAACTGGCTGGTAAAAAAAACTCGGGTGAAGACTTTCCATCCGGTGAAGGGCAAATTCGCGCACATGGGTTAAGCATCGTGTGTACCTACAACGGATCCAGGTTGTATAAAATGTACAGGAACCTGAAGCGCGCATCATCTCACCTCACCATCTTGTGAAGTGTAGATTCCGTTTCTTTTTTACTAACGGACACATTTTTTCCCGCCCGCCTGCTCGTAGATCTTCGAAGCGAGGCAGCAAACTCATTGCAATGCGTTGCGTCCAGCCTAGGGATTGTCACAACTCTCTCACACAGGCTCCATTTCATTTCTGCAAGTTTCCCTCTACGCATGAAGCTTAGGGTTCCTTCCTGGTGTCAAGACTTAATGTGAGGATTCCCACTGCTATCTTCCTAGCCTTCGAGCCTTTCTATTAGTCCCATGGCATCTTATCAACTAGTCAGAGTAGCTGTTGCGTGACCGTTTGAATTGTTGTCAGACGAACGTCTTTCCATTATCCTCCATCTCGTCGGTCGATCCGACGGTAAGTTCCAGCACGTGCTTGTGTGCAAGGAATGGCATCGCATCGCCTGTCGGGTGCACGACCATATTCAGATTCGCGAAATTCGTCGCATGCGTCCTCGCGAGCTGCTCGCACACTTCTCGTCATTCCCAAGGCTCCAAAAGCTTGTCCTTGCTTTCGGCAGCAACAAATCTGTCCCTAACTCCCTCCTCTCGCGAATTGCCGACACGTGTCAAGGTCTGACGGACCTCCACGTCGATTGGATGGATCGACAGTTCAGACAGGGGGGTTCACTGAGAGCAGACTTTCGTATCTCTTTGAGAAATGCATACGGCTGGAGGGCCTTCATCTTGATTGTCAGTCGAATCTGACTGCCATTCCTTCATCAATCAGCAGCCTCGCGTCACTCAAGAGCCTGCACATCATCGACAGGGGGAGAATCGCTCGCCTCCCAGGTATGTTCACCTCGTTACAGTATCTCGCCCCATCTTGTGATTGAAATGCACTGCCTGGATGAGCTGCCTCAGAACTTCGGCAATCTGAAACTGCTCAACTCACTCCTATTAAACAGCTGCACGCGGCTCAGCTCCATTCCCGATTCTTTCGGGCAGCTTACCAACCTGAAGCATCTTTCCATCAGCGGCTATAGGACAAGGCTTCGACTGCCCGAATCCATCTCCAACCTTTCGTCCCTGCTGACCCTCGAGATTTCGTACTGTCAAGACCTTTCACCTCTGCCCAAAAGTTTTGAAAACCTACCGGCTCTTGAAACCCTGTGTCTGGAGGAGGTGGGGGGGATTATCAACCTTCCCGCAAGTATCGGGCAGCTGCAACGGCTGCGGCTCCTCTCTGTAATCAACCGGGGCGAATTTATGTCTTTTCCTACCTCCCTCCATCTGCCTTCCCTAATGGACCTTTTTCTTGTGGGTATGGCACTCCTGCATCTGCTTGACGACGTGGGTCGACTGCCACGCCTGCAGACGCTCAAGCTGGACTTTGGCATTCTCACGCACCTGCCTTCCTTCATTGCCCTTGCCACGGCACTCAAACACCTCACGCTCGAGAATATTTAAGTTCCACTACACCTGCCCGGGAATCTTGGGCAGCTGACAGCCTTGGAGTCCCTGCTCCTGATCAAGCTTCCGCAGCTCAACAGCCTGCCCGCATCGCTTGGCAACTTCACAAGCCTCACGGAGCTGAAAATATCCAAATGTACTGCGTTGACACAACTTCCAGCCTCCCTGAGTCAGTTATCTTCCCTTGAGTTGCTGGAAATCAGTGAGTGTAGCAAGCTGACGACGCTACCGCAGAACATGGGGAATGGTCTGCATAGACTGCGCAAGCTGATTCTGCTCCGATGCTCGGCTCTCACCCGCCTTCCTCCCTCCTTCTCCAACCTCTCCTCCCTTGAAACCTGCGATGCAAACAGCTTACGCGGCGCCCTACCAATCGACTTGACTCGCTGGAAATGCCTCAAGAAGCTCTCTCTCTCCTCCCTGCCGCACCTGCCCGCCCTGCCTGCCCCCCTCCCTACCATCGCCCGCACTCACACCAACCTGACTGAGCTGCCCGAGTCGTTCGGGCAGCTAAAGATGCTTTAGTTTCTGGAGATTTATAAGATCCCGGGCCTAACCAGGCTTCCCGAGTCCTTCCCTCAACTGTGTAGACTGGAGCTGTGCTTTTACTCCAGAATCGGGCTTTCATGTCTTCCAGATGACTTCTGGAAGCTCTCTTCCTTGGAGGACCTCACTCTGAACTTATTGCCCAATCTTCACAGCCTGGCCGAGAATTTCTCGCAGCTGCTCGGACTGGAGGACTCGCATCTGCACGGGTGCAAGCGGCTGGCTCGATTACCCACGGGTTTGCGGCTGATGGAGAAGCTGCTGGCATGTGTGATTAGTGGGTGCCCGCTGCTATCGACACGTCGGAGGGGGGTGATTTACGGTACAGCGAACCTGGACGAGGGAGAACGTATCAGTCCTTGGTATCAAATTTTTTCATGTGAACTCAAGTTGTATTCGCACTGTTGGTGGCGGAACGAGTTTTGAAACGCGTAAAAAAACGTGTCATGTTAACCTGAGTGGTAGTCGTACTTTCTTGCCGAAACGTTTCGCACCACTAAAGCCTTCACCGCTCTCTCTGTCCCCCAATCTCCTGCAGCCGACTTCACGATGCTACGCTGTCAGATGCCCTTGCTGAGCTAGCATCTGCCCCAGGCATCAGAGCAAAACCCGCTCAGGTTTCACAAGTTTTCCACTTCACACGGGCAGCGGTTCAAAAGAAGTGCGCTGGTGCGGCTTGGCAAGCCTGATGTGCCTTTGAACGGGAGGCAAGAAGAGGGTGGTGATCTATGATACAGCGAACCTAGACGAGGGAGAGCGTGCAGTGGGTAGCTCGGAGAAAGAAGAGGAAGGGGAAGTGTGGATGGGAGAGGGATGAGAGGAACGAAATTAAGGGTAGTGTCCAAGGGCTGGTTATTGGGAAAACGGGAAAGGATGTGAATTGAGATTGAGATGACGAGGAAGAGAAAGGCATTGATGGGGAGGTGAGGGAGGGGGATGGAAATGGAACCGGAGGATTTGGAGGATAAGAAGGAAGTACCGGTAGGTGAGATGGCTAGTATCAGTACCATTTTAACCAAATGACATTTTGTCGGCCTTCGGATAGAAGCGCCCCTGGGGGTATAAAAAAACACTGTTTTTTAGGGGGTGCGCTTATAATCGAGGAATTTTATAAGCGCCGACGTTTATAAAATGACATATATGAAACGCGTTTTTTTTAGACCATGCTGTAGATCTTGTTCTTGCAATTTGAATCGAGTCGAAACTGTACAGGGCTGTGAATGAGAATCTCGCGCAAGTTGGCAGGGAACGATTCCCTGCCAACAGACAGAGTCAGAATGAGGCAACCTAAACAGGTCATTCTGACAGGACGCGCTGGCAATGAGCCGAGCGAGGTGTGGGAACTCGAGATTCAAAATTGTGGGAATGGAAATGTGAGTTTCGTTACAGAGATTTCAGTAAAAATATAAAATCAATATACACAAGCTGGCGCTTATAATCCGTAACCCTTCAGGGGTGCGCTTAAAATCGAGGACCAAATATAAGCGCCCTCATCCGTAACCCTTCAGGGGTGCGCTTCTATCCGGGGGCTTACCGTTATTGAAGTGATACTTCTGCTTTGCTGCATTTATGCTTTAGGTCATGGTCAGGTTGCCAAGTCAATACCTCACTGTAGAGTTTACACACATGGGTTAAAGGTGCTAGAAAGGCATAGTGCCGGCGTAGCGGAAACGTATTTGTAGAAAGAACAAGATAGAAAGCTTGCATTGGAAATGGATTGAGAATGGATTAATGAAGAAGTGACACAATAGGGTATTTATGCACCCATCTAACTCTTATAGGATGGCCTCATTCACACTAATAATGACGTACCAATATTTTTTCCCTCTACCTTCGAATAATGGTATGCTCCAATAATTTTGGCCGTACAATAATTGTGACAATTATTGTAGAACCTGGAGGCTTATAATGAGTACTACACCAAAACCAAACAGCATAGTACACATTATTCGTTATACTGTATTCGGATTTCCAACACTCCTCCTTGCTGTAGATTTAGTGAATTCGTTTTTCTTGAAGGATGGGGTGGATGAGGTGGTGTACCACCGTAGAGGTAGGGGTGCTCCCAACCCAAACCAAGCTAGGGTTTGGTGTTGACCAAGCTGCTTGTCACTGTAGCACTTTTGTCAGAACATTATGCTCTAGCCTGCAGTGGGGTGCTCTATAGCGAGTACAACCCTTCTAGGGTTAGCTATTTGTACCACCATTGTTGCTAGTGCAAACTCTCTTTCTGTTTCTAAACTTTGCCTACTACTTCTGACATGCTATCAGAGCAGGTCGACCCTCCTGGGTCGATCCTGTGGGTGGGCCCGCCACCTAATGCTTCCGCTGCTGTCCTGCTTATCGCGCGCCTCGGGCGCGCGACGTTTTCTGCCTACTGCGCGCTCGCAAGGCGCGGCGTTTTTAGGGTTTCGGCGGTTTTCATCCCGCCGTGCGCTCGGGGCGCGCGGCGGTTTTCTGCCCGCCGTGCGCCCCGAGGCGCGCGGCGGTTTCCCACCGTCGAAGTGCCCCCCGTCGCCCGTCGAAGCGCCCTCCCCCCGTCGCCCGTCGAAGCGCCCCCGTCGCCCGTCGGAGCGCCCCCCGTCGCCCGCCAAAACGCCCCCGTCGCCCGTCGAAGCGCCCCTGGGACCCGCGCGCGGCCCGTACGGGCTGCGTACGGGCCGCGCGCGGCCCGTACGGGCTGCGCCAGGCCCGCGCGCGGCCCGTATGGGCGGCGCCAGGCCCGCGCGCGGCCCGTACGGGCTGCGCCAGGCCAGCGCGCGGCGCGGGCAGCCTGCGCGCGCCTCGTCCGTCCCCCTCTCGCCGTCCCCCGCGCTCCTGCCCCTATCCCACCCGTTTTAGGGTTTGGGGATGTGGAGTGTGGGGGTGGCGGGTGTGGGGGTGCCGGTTGTGTGCCCCGTCCCCTCCTTCTCCTCCTCCTCCGTCTCCCGCTGCTGCAGCTGCCGCTCAGGGGGGTGGTTGTGTGGGGAGCCGAAGGAGTGGTCCTAGGGGGGTGAAGGGGGAGTGGAGCTAGGGGTGAAGCAGAGGGTGTGTGTCGAGGGGTGTGGGACTGTTGGGGGAGGTTGAGGGGAGGTTGCCGTCGTGTCGTACGCAGCGCCTGTACTCCGGGGCACTCATTCCCGGTAGCTCAGAGAGCCGGTTGCGCCGTCGCCTGTGGGTCCGTTGCTCCTGCCGCGCATATTAGCCGCGGAGCCTGTTACTCCTGTACTCCGGGGCACTCATTCCCGGTAGCCACGTTGTCGCACCAGAGCCGTCTGTTGCCCGTGTGTCTGCATCTTCAGTCGTCGCCTCCTATCTACTCTCCTCTCACCAGCCCTCCTCCTCCTCACTTGCCCCCTGTGACTGCCTCTAGCTTTGCTCATAATTGTGAACCTTAAACTATTGCTTCTTGCTTGTGCTCAGAATGAGTGGTGACATCGTGATCCACCCTGAGCTTGTACTACTTTGCTTGCTGTGCTGATTACACCCCACTTTGGCTATGGGGGTGTGTCAGAACATTATGCTCTAGCCTGCAGTGGGGTGCTCTATAGCGAGTACAACCCTTCTAGGGTTAGCTATTTGTACCACCATTGTTGCTAGTGCAAACTCTCTTTCTGTTTCTAAACTTTGCCTACTACTTCTGACAACTTTTCCCTCCCAAACTCTTGGTGCTTCCCAACTCCAACCAAGCCATCTTCCCTCACGTTTTCCAATCCCTCCTTCCAATATCGACTTTCCAGATCCATATCCAGGGAGTAATGGCTGCTGCTTAGGGATTTGTAGCAGCTCCATGGCGAAATCCCCTATTAACCATGGCAAAATGCCTGTATCGTTATGGCGGAATGCCATTAGTGCACGCCAAATTTCTGAAACCGTAGATTTTACGACACGCGATTGTCACTGTTGCTGACTTGAAACCGCGATGTGAGACCACAACGGATGCGTGTTCGCGACGACTGCAGTTGCGGATGATGCTAATCGGTAGCGGATGACGCATGGCATGCTACTGGCACGGAACTACATTGGCAGGCGCACACTTCGCGCGATAGAAGCAACGACCTGGCGTTCGTCAGCGGCTGACAATCTGGTGCGAGTCTGCTGCTGCAATTTCATGTCCGCACCTGCTGCATCTTCGTGGGCCTCTCTACCCTTGCCTTCCCCCCCCTGCCTTTCTCAGTAAACCTTGCTTTTCTCCCCTTGCCTCGCACTGAGATGGCATAAGGTTGCCCATGTTTTAAATAAACACTGAGCGATGATGCCATGTCTGCTCAAACTTTCACCACGTTGTCCCCTAATTCTCCCCTTACACTCCAGCTGACGTGCGAGAGCAGAAGGAGTTGCTGAAGCCCATCAAATGAAGAGAAAAGCCCATCACATGTCAGCGCAAAGCAGATGGACAGATGCGCGCCAAGCACGACAAAATGCACACTCCAAGTACGCAATGCTCTCCAAGTATGCAGAAATGTGCACGCCAAGTGAGCAGTGCACTCCAAGTATGTAGTTTTGTGCACACCAAGTATGCAGAGATGTTCACACCAAGTATGTGCTCCCATGTATGTTCTCCATTCTTCCCTCAAGTGGTTCCGTTCATCAGCAGCAACCAGTCGCACGGTGCAGTACCAACACACGAGAGATGGCGACCGGCTGCACCTTTTCAGCCTACTCCCCCTGCCTATCGGCATTTCTTGAGAAAGTGAGTAGGTCTTCCCCTTATGCTTCGTGACTCCATGTTTCACTCCAGTGCCACCAAGTACATTCCACACCCCACTTCCCCCCAACCATGTGCTTGTAGTTATCCGCGTACTTAGCTACAAGCACATGAGTAAGTGTGGAGTTAGGTGATGTCATGTTGTGCAACACAGCTTGAGGAGGCCACACAGGTGAGTTCAACACCAGCACCCTTGTCTTGATGATTGTCTCCAGATGGTACACCAGGGGGAATCAGTTGAAGCCCACTCAGCAAACTGCAAGTGAGATGCTGCTTGGAGGTGACCGGTTTG